TGCTGAACCCCTCGCCCCACTCTCTCCACTCCAGAGCCTGCGGGGTCTGCAGCGGTGCCTCCCACCACCTTTGACCCGTCACCATTGCCGGTCGCCCGTGGAAGATGGGGGACGAGTGCAACCTGGACTTTGAAAGGGTTTCCTCAGAGGCTCTTGCTGAAGGACTCAAGGGAAAGGTAAAGCACACCTTGTCCTGCCTGGCCTGACCAGCTCTGTGTCTGTAGGTTAGCCTTGTGTTGGAGGACAGGAAAATCCTGGGGAGCAGCACAGCTCACGTTGCAGGGGGTCAGGGGATATGAGAGGAAGGGATAGGACACCATGCAGCCTCCCTTCATTTCTGTGTCATGGGTGACATCGAAGCCACCAGCTGGACATGGCACTGCAGGAGCTGCCTTTTCTCCTCTCTTCCAAAGAAGATAGTCATGGGTAGAATAAGCAAATGCAGGACTTTAACTGCACGTTGGATTTTGAGCCAAGACGCGCTTATCACACTGTCATTTAGAAAGATGCTCAAACTGCCCTCTTGATGCTTGCAGTTGGAGAAGTTTGGGGCTGCTGTGGACTCTCTCTGCAGGAGGTTGAGTGACCAGAACCCCGACGTGGCCTATGAGAAAGCTTTCCTCTGTGTTTCTGTGAAACTGCTAATGTCTGTTGCTAAGAAAGTCCCAGCTATGATGTGTCCCAACGAGCTTACGGAAGTGATTAATGGAGATTCTCAGGTGAGAAACTACATTGAGGCCCGCGGTGGATGGGTAAGAATGTGAGGCAGTAGTGCTGTTTGCCTGGGCCTTTACGGCTCCTCCTTCGTATTCCTCACCTCTCCCGGCTGCCTCACGTGCTCATCACTGGTACCCAGCACATCCCCAGGCACACACTGGATAACGGCACAGCTGCAGGAGCACGGCTTTGCCAAGCACCTCAGCGACGCCTTCCTGGAGTCAGCATCCAACTTCCTGCTTGCTTCTCTGTCTCATGGTTTAATTCCTTACCTCAGTATCTTGGGAGCTTCGCTTGCTCCCTTCGATGAGGGATGGGCCATGCAGACAGTGCTGTCCTGCTCCCGCGGCGTCGCAGATCCCCCTTGGTGCGCATTACCCGGAGAAGAGACGAGATGGGCCCAGGAGACGGTCCCAGCAGGAGGGGGGTCACTCATCCCACCCCACGGCCTTCTCTCCCTGCTATTTCCTTTAAACCTGACTTGAATTCTTTCTGTAAAACACACATGGGGTTTTTTTTGTTTGTTTTCAGGAGAACTTGGGCAATTAAGAGAATAGGCTATACCATTTTCCCAACGGTGAAGCTGGGCTTGGCATGGATCTAACTGGGAGAAAAGCTGTTGTGCTTCTGGAGACTGCCAGCGGAACTCTACACATAAGTAATGTGTAAAATAGATACTGTATCACTACAGCCAGAAAGTAATAAGCTATTTTTCTTATTAATTTGTTTTTCTTCTTGTGTTTCTCCTAAATTTAGCCATAAAAGTAGGATTCACTCTTATTCAGGATTTGTAGGTTAGTGCTTAGTGCTGCAGACTCATCAGGTGAATATCTGTTTTAAAACATATTTTTTTAAAACAGTTGTTCTAAAGATCTCTCTGTTCCTCTCAGGTTGGTCAAAAATTAGCATTTTACTTTATTTTAAACTAAGAGTGATGGCTCTTCCAGAGTGACCAGCAGCCCTTTGCCTTTTAGCAGCTGGATACAAAAATCTCATAGGTATTCTGTACCAAATCTGCAGGACGACACAGAAAGGGAACACATTTAATGAGTCCTGTAAGTGTTACTGAGAGTGAGAGAGGTATTAGGCTGGCATAATTAATTTGATTTCTGTAGTTTACTGGAGTCAGATTATTTGACCCTCTCTTCTGGCACAAGCTACCAGACATGGGGAACTGTGGCTGGAAGAGTTGACCTGAAGCAGGTGGGTGGGTTTTTCTCCATTCAGAACTGGTTGTGCAGTTCAGTGGAGTAACACGTGTGAGCCAGGTTCAGGTGCTCAGCATCTGCCTGAGGTATAATTTCAAAATATCTTGCAGTTAATGTGGCCAACAGACGCAGTCACAAGTGTGAAGGGGAGCTGTGGGTTTTGCATGCTGTTTCAGGGGCTGTTCTGGCCCAGCACAGTTGGAGCCCGCGGCCGTGGCCCCGACGCCTGGCAGCAAAGAGCAGCCCCTGGGGACAGGGGGCTCAGCTGCTGCCCCCTGGGTGCACCCCTCCAGACCCTGCTGCTGCCGACAGCGGGACGTGGTGCTCAGGGAGGTCTGGTGTCGGGGTGCTCGGCCCTGCCCTCCAACACCCGACCGCCTCCGTGGCACCGTGCACCGAGGGGCCCGGGGCAGCTCTGCCCAGCTCTGTGCCACCTGCCCTTGCGGCGTGCGGTTTTAAAAGGCGGCGCGAAGGCCCCGGGTTCTGTGCTCTGCTCCGTTGTTTGGCCACGATATCTGCTACGCACTAATTTCCTCTAGGACTGGTGATGAAGTCAGTAAACCACAGCCTGCCGAGTGCTCGCCGGGCTGGTGCTTTCCGCTGCAGCACACACTTGACATGTAGCAGGCCGGTCGCACTCAGTCTCCAGCAACATGGACCAAAGAGAGATTCTGCTGCGAAACCTGGAAAGGGCCCAAGGCAAGAAGCTCAACCGAGAGGAGTTCGTAGACGAATTTTTGGTAAGTTCGTGTAAGGCACGGCTCTGTGTTTCAGCTGATTTTAAAGGGATCTGCTCGGTCACTTCTCAAACTGGGACATGATTTGCATGTGACAATAAGACTTTCTATGAATTTTACGGCAGAAAGAGGCACACCAGTTAGCTGATGTAAAATAAGTGTAAAGACAGAAGAGTAATTTAATAGCCTGTATTCAAAGTAAAACTGTTTGCTTTTTAAATAACTGCCTGGGTGCTTCCTGTTTTGTGCTGTACAAATGCACTTGTCGGGACACAGTTTCACTTTGCCTGGAGATACAGCCAGGGGTACTGCGAGGAACAGGAGCCACTGCCTTTCCCCCCACTGCAGTCCGTTATATCTGTAATGCACATGCTCCTCCAGCCATCTCTGGTGGATGCTTGACATGGCTTTTCCTTTTTCCATGTCAGTAGAACCCCACACCCTGCCTGCCCACCAGCAGAGCAGAGAGCAAGTGTTCAGAGACATGCCCGGTGGCCCTTGTCAGCACTGGCACCGTGGCCGAGGCGTGAGGCGCAGCCGGACGGGCCGTCTCTCCAGCCCCCAGCTCCAGCTGGCCACGGGGAAGGGCTTGTGCATCCATTCGCCATGAGCGCACGTGCTCTGCTTCCAGCAGTGCTTCTGGCCCCTCCTGGAAATTAATTTATTTTTCCCTCAAGGCAAAATCAGCAAAAAATGCTGATGGCTCTCACTTTCGCCTGCACTCTGCAGTGTCCAGCTGGTTGTTAAGTGCCCAAATCTCTCTGACATTTTTTATTTATTTGGGTGGCAGGGAAGTCTTAGATGACAATCCAAAATCTCACAGTTAGAGCCGATGGCTGGCGATGGCTGTTGCTGTACCAGCTGGACGAGGGTTACTCTGGCAGGCTGTCTGGGCTGCTCTGAGAAGCAAAGGCATCGCCCAGCTTTAGCAGACATAGGGAAGGGTAAAACTGGCACATCTGTAATATCTGAGGTATCTCAAACACCAGAATAAACACTGGCCTCAAGCTATCCCCCAGACAAGGGCTGCATCAGGCAGTGGACTCTGGATTCCCCATGAGTTCCAGCCCTACTTTGTAATACCAGTGAAGACTGACACTTCAAACACTTGGGAAAAGCTTAGTGCTTGGTTTCGAGGTGTCTGGGTTGGAGGGAAGTGATTAATCTGAGCCTGCAGTGACAGTCTGTTGTTCCATGGAACAAAGCACCATCACGGGCTGCTGAATTTCCCCCCGCTGCTGTGCTGGGGCTGCACGGCGCGAGGCACACGCTGCCCAGCCCTGGGCATCGACAGGTTCCAGCAGCCAAAGGTACCAGTTAGTTTTCTGACCAGACTGGCAGGTGGAAGTGGTCAAGGCTGTTTCCTCTTGCACCGGGATGAGGTCTTCTCAGGATGGCCTGAGTTGCTGGCCACTTCTGCAAAGAAGAGCCAGAGCCTTGACAGGCAATTGCAATGGCTTGCCTTGCCAGACTTGCTAGAAATGTCCAGTGCTACCTCTCCATCCTAATGTCTCCCCTCTCTCTGTGTGAACAAGCATCTGCACATGCAAACTGTGGTGTTGTTACTGTCAATGATGGGTTTATTCTGCTCAAGTCCCCTTTTTCTGTTTCTCCAGTCTCGCAGCCAGGGTTTGATTCTTAGGGCTCTCACTGGCTTTCTCATCTGTAGGCATTTCCCAAGCAGTTTTTGAGGTACTGCTAAGGGGCTGCTTGGCTTGGTCAAGTACATAAGAGCTACAAAGCCCTCCCTTTGGCCATGGTGCTATTTCAGTTCACCAACTCCAAGACCAGCAGATTGTTCCCCCCTGTGCTCTGAGCAGCACAGGGAAGGGCGCTCAGGCAGACAAAGCAGCTCAGGTGGGTCGCTGAGGTGCACACAAGGCATGAGAAACCCTCTCACCTTGCAGCTCAGGTGTGCCTGTGGCCTCTTCCCTTTGCTCTTCACCCCTGCAGGCCTTCATTTCACAAATGTGTGTGATCCTGAGGGTTCTTGTGTCAGCCTGATTCTCTGGACCCCAGCAGGGGTGTCCAGGAGAAGGGCTGTGAAGGTATGGTGGTGGGAAATGGAGACTTGCCCTTCGAAGTGTCAGACTGTAGAGACACTCATTAGAGAAATGGCCTTTTGTTTTAAATCAAAAGCACCCCTTGATGTCAAGAAAAGTGGTTAGGTAGACAAAAAATTATGGAAGAAA